TCGGGAGGAAGACAGAATGCACATCCCATAATTATACAAAGAAATAAAGCGGACAAATACATGTAGGGAATGGGAGCTGCTCTACCTCTGACAGAGCATTGGACACAGCCATTTTTTTTGTTTACGGTTCCCCAGACTCTTGGCTGAAAGAGGCCTCCTCTGTCGTTTCCCTGTTAATGGTCCAGTGGAACTGGAGCTAACGGGCAGGGAACCCAGGATTGTCTCTTTGCGAGAGTGCGCTCTGCCGTAGGACTTGGGCCTCTGCCCAGGAGGAGCTGAACTGGTCTTAGTGGGTGACCTGCTGGCAATGACATGGGGAAGCAGAGCGCGGAGGGACCACGGGTGTCTAGACATGGCAGCAGGTGGCCTCCGGGCTGCGTGAGAAGAGAAGGGGACACGGAAAGGTCAGAGTGACTGAACTTTGCATAGAGCATTTGTCCTGATGATCAGGTATGGATTTTTAGTATAGATAGTGCTGAGCAAGAAAGATCATAAGGCTGACTTGTCGCTCACTGTGGTGTTTCATTATGTAATGTTCCAGGTTCAGAGGTGGGGGAATACTACTAATCTCGTGGCCAGCGTGGCCAGAGTGGGAGATGCTGGGGATCATCGCCCAAAAATACTACTAATCTCATGGCCGCAGTGGGAGATGCTGGGGATCATCGCCCAAAAGATATGTTTTCTAAGCTCTGCTCATTGGTTTCGGAGGAAATTGTATAGGGATTTGTACCGGAACTTGCATAAAGTTTCTAGGCTTGGGGGTTACGATCCAAAGATGTGACACTTAAAATGTAAGCTCTCTTAAAATTCAGCAGTTCAGCCCACCACCACCATGATCCGTTTCACGGAGGGGTGGTGTGGTCTGGGCCAGCTGCCTTTCTTCCTCATCCGTGACTGGAGCCAGAGTTTTTGGGACGATATGGGCCTCCTCCTCCGTTTAAGTTTACAGGGCATTTAGAGGGCAGGAAACCTCTATTCATTTAGACCGGAGATTGAACTGGACAGCGGCCAGCTCTATTGTGCCTGAAACGTCTAAACTGCATGTTATATACTCCAGAGAGAGATATTGTGTGTGTGTGTGTGTGTGTGTGTGTGTGTGTCGAAACATCTAAACTGCATGTTATATACTTCAGAGAGAGAGAGATTGTGTGTGTATGTGTGTGTGTGTGAACACACACACACACAAATACACACATGTACTTTCTTACTGGGGATGATAAGTAAAACATCTGGTTCACATGTGACCCTCTTCCTCATCGGCCTACAAGCGCCCAGGAGGGCATGATTTTGCCTGAATTGCACGCTGGGTGTATGTCAGCAAAATGCCATCTCAGTGTCAATTCTGCAGTTGTGTTTCTTCAGCCTTCAAAGGTCAAGAGATTTTATATTTTCCCTCCCTTCTTAGACCTTAACCTGCTGTTATAAAACTCTCTGTTTTAAAGACATGTTTGTATAGAAGATAGCTGGAGTGTGTTCGGGAGGGGGGAGAGAGTCTGCACAGGGCGATAAGTCCCTACGCCATGCTTTGGAGGGGCAGAGTAGGATAATTTTTTCAAGGGGGCGCGAGCCTTCCAAAGTGAAGCCGTTTATTTTAATTATTTTTTAGACCACCTTTAAGAAATCTTTTCGGAGGAGCTGGGAGAAGAAGCCTCAGAAGCAAGCGTGAAATGAGAGCAAGGCAGAAACAATTCAGGGGGCCTATTCTAGTGTGGTTTGCTAGGGTAAAGAAACAGGATTTGGGCCATCGTCTCTATGCGACATGCATTTTTTACTATAACAGTTATTTTTCTCCAGTGATAGTATACCAAACCATGTTTATGTGTTATTTCAGAAAGGTGGTTTTCAAAAACATTTTGAGGCTGTTGCGTCATGAATGCATTACCCTAACATGGTATCTGATGTTAACACTGTGATGCTATAAATTCGTAAAGCAGTGATGAATGTCAACATGATACCTTCTCGTGCTTGATGTTTCCAAGCTGTGGTCTGACTAAGTTGAAATCAATGTTGTATGTTCGTTAGACATTCCAACTGAGGAAAGCTTTTGGGTGAGGTACTTAGCTGACTGCTAATGATACTAACTAGCTCTTGAGTCTTCTGACACTTTCTTGGAGCACTTTAGTGTTAACGGGGAGGGAAATGAGATCATGTTGGAGGAAGTAGCTTTTTTTTCCTACCACCAAGGAAATCTAAATGCATCTACCACCCCCAAACCAGAAATACCAGTTTGGTCTAACAACAAAACAATTAACTCCCTTGCTTCATGGCTGCATCATCTTGGTGGTTCCAAGATGATTCTGACTCACTTCCTCCCTCCCCCCCCCCCCCCCGGGAGGGAAATGAGATCATGTTGGAGGAAGTAGCTTTTTTTTCCTACCACCAAGGAAATCTAAATGCATCTACCACCCCCAAACCAGAAATACCAGTTTGGTCTAACAACAAAACAATTAACTCCCTTGCTTCATGGCTGCATCATCTTGGTGGTTCCAAGATGATTCTGACTCACTTCCTCCCTCCCCCCCCCCCCCCCTGGCTCGGANCAGGAGAACAGGATTCAGCCAGATGCTGGCAGGAGATGCTTGAATTTTGGAAAACATGTTGCTGAAGAATTCACCCAGCAGCTGGATAGTTATTCAAGGAGGAAGTAACTGTCAGTCAGTTAACTTTTACTAGGGTGCCAGTCTAATATTTTAGAGAAGGTTCCAGAAAGTGTTTTTAGAGGGCATTTGAAGGTATTCCAACAGGAAATTTTTAAAAAGTTGCAAGCAGTGCAAGAAAAGTATCACAATAAGTTACTCTTTTTTCCAACATAGAAATTAGCTGCCACCAGAGATTACTTTTCAAGCACTGTAATAATGAGAGATGGGAATGATTTTTCTGTTTTTTTTTTAACTATTTCCAAATTCTGTCTTCCTTGTTTAATAAAAACTATTTCCAAATTCTAATGCAAGAGGCTCTAACTCCACCTGTTCAGGATAGCAGTGTATGCTTATCTTTGTGGCCAAGGGTGTTCCAGGTGGGATTTGGAGTTTCATTTGGTGCCCCCTAACTAGTGACCCCTCTGCTCAGGAAAGACTCTTCAGACCTTTCGTATTTGGGGTGGGGTGGGGGACACTCAGTAATGGCAAGCTTTAAGCCCGGGATTGGGGACTATAAGGCCACTGCTCCCTCCTTAGAGGTGGATGGCACATGCTCAGAAGATGCCATGCAACTAACTGATCAGTAGTTCATTGTCTGGCATCTCTAACAATCTTCTCCCCTCTTGCTGGATGCTGTTATGTAATGCAGGTGCAATGAAAACAGTGTTGCTCCTGCCCGGCAGGTTGCCCTGGCTAAGCCTCAGAGCAAGGTGTTTGTCTCTTCTTCTCCTGCCCTGAAAGCTCAATTAGGTAAAGCCGTCAAGCAGCATACTTGCTCACTTGATCCCCGGTCCCTGTTGCGCCACCCTAGGGAACGCGGCTTTTTTCCACACCACAGTGGGCTGCTGGTGGAACAGAGGCATCGCCAGGAGCACGTCATGGCCTAAAGGCGAGGCTGGGTTGCCAAACCGCCCGTGGCCCCACTTGGTATCTTCCACCCACTTCTCCAGACAGGGGAAGCGGAGGCATGAAGCAGCCACGGGTTTCTGCTGCCATGATTCAGATGGGTGCTTCCTTAGGCGTAGCGTTTCTTCTCCTCCCATGGGTTTCTGCTGTCATGATTCAGACGGGTGCTTCCTTAGGCGTAGCTTTTCTTTTCCCCCCCCCCTTTACGGAATCACCTACTCCCCCCCCCAGAAGTGGCGGCTTGTGGAAAACGAGGGAAACCACCCTGCCAGAATGTGGCAGATGGCTGTCTGGGCCGGTCCAGCGTTCTGGTCTGGATGGGCGCCTAGAAACCTCCAGCCCTTTTCTCTCTGGCAGGCGCAGTCGGCTGGGGTGTTTTTCTCCCCCGCCTTTAGCTGCTTCCGTGCTCAATTTTGCTTCAAACTGTTCACCCGTAGTAGCTTTAGGGGTCAATCTGAATGCCTTGCCAGCGAGAAACTGCGTTCATTCCAGGTATTTCCCTGGTTCACAGGGAGTGTAACCGTCAGGGGAAGGATAACTGCGTGGGTCGGTAGGACTGACGCCACCCTTAGTGGAGGGTGGTCGGTACCTTGCCCCTCTGAAGGACGCCTCCTAAGGGATTAGTAACTGGCAAAAAGAGCTTCCAGGCAAAATATGCTGGACTTCTTTGCCCCGTTTGACCTTGACTGTGTAGCAAAACAACCCTAAGACCTTTTCTGAAATTGACCAGAATTTTACACTTGGATCAGAACAGGTTCTTTGCTTCAAAACCTAATCTGTGAAAGTTCACCCTGTTCCAAGAGGTGGCATGAACTGTTTTGAGTTCTCTGCTTTGGCCGTGGCCAGGTTGGCAAACACACCAGCTTCCTTGTTCTGCAATTTCTTAGCTGAGCGCCTCATTAAGAATTTGGTGTCACATTGAACAGAGAGAGATTTTTCCGGCTGAGAGTCATCCAGGGAGCAGGGAGCGTGGTAGCTGGGATGTCGCTGAGCCGTGGTTAAGAGGGATGAGCAGATCTAAAGGATTCTTCGGTCGGATTCCTATCAAATGGACAGTGTAATGAGAATGTAGAGGAGATCAAAGCAACATGAGCGTGCTTAAATTAACGAGCACAACTTTGCCCTAAATCTCTGGGCAGGGAAGGAGGGCCCTCGCAGCTTTATCCTTGGCTGTCTAAACACAGTTTCTGTACTTCATTGTTTAGGCTTGGGCTGACCTGGTCTACTCCTTCCTACTGTGAATATTTGCACAATTATCTTTGAAAGAGGTTTCAGTGGCCCATCGAGAGGTTAACGATTAGTTAAGAAAGTCCTACTGTGAATATTTGCCTGGAATATTTGCACAATGTCTTTGAAAGAGGCTTCAGTGGGCCATCGAGAGGTTAACGATTAGTTAAGAAAATCTTTAAAGCAGGGAAAGTCAGGATAGCTTCACAGTCACAAAGAAGCACTTTCAATTTCCAGTCCCAGGAGAACTTCGTTGTTTATATTTTGAATTTGAATGTTGAAACACTTTCTTCAGGTTTCTCCACAGGCATTAGTCCAGTTTTAAGAGGAAGGATGTTAATAATACCTTCCAGAATAGAAGTTTAAGCCAAAAATTCACCTTTCTTCCCTCTGCAGGGATAGTCAAAGATAGAAAGAGCCATTTGCACTTAGCAAACTTAAGAGGAGTAGGTCAGAAAAATGTTGGTATCTATAATGTGTTTGTCATTGGCATGCAGAAGCCTTTCAGATTAAAGAGACAGGGCATTAGTCATATCTCGCTCTCAAAAGAGAGAGCATCATTCATTTCTCCAGATCAGCTGCAAGACTAGTTCTTGGAATCTCAATGAAGTGAGGCCACAATGGACTTCTGTACAAAATGAGATCAGGCCTAGAAGCGATTGGAAGGCAGCCCTTCGCCCAGCCCGAGATGGAGCATCCGTGGAAGGAAGGCGGTCATTCCTGTGAGTTTGCCGATCTGCAAGTTGGGGGGGAAAAGCGTGTGTTGAACCACACTTTTCAGGATATAACGATTAGTGCTGGCAGTGCATACGGTGAATTGGCGGTGCACCGTGTGAAGAAATATTCGCCTCTGTGTGTCCTTAAGCTCCCGCTGTTTTGGCTTCACGGGATGACCCTGGGTTCTCGGGTTAAATAAAACCTTTTCACCAGATGGTTTTTCCACCTTGGATGCAACAGGCAGCATTCAGGCTCCTGAGAGATTTACAGTACTCTAATTTTCTTTTCACTAGACCCCTAAGATCCACCAGTCTCTGTTTGGTACAAAAGGCGTACTGTAACAGTCTCTCTCCCTTACGCATGCAGTTGGAGAAACCTTAGCCCGCCCAAGATTTCCAGCAATGGCTGAGATAATTCAGGCACAGCAAAGTTCAACCTTCACACTGACATCAGAACTACTGGGACCTAAGAGGGGTGGGGAGTGGTTTTACTTTCACATTTGCTCTACAAGGGATTTCCCACCATTCTCTTAAAGGTCTTTTAACACTTAAATAAACAGAATATGGCATATATTGAGCCCACGGGTTTGTTTTTCAATATCAGGACTGAATGATACTCCTGGCTGTTCCTCCAACACACACTAATCCTAGGGATCTCGGCCTAAAGTAGAACAAGCCAGAAATGAGAATACCATCTGTAGGAAGAAAAAACCTCAATAAAATGAAGCCTTCTTTTGTATGCTTTAATTGTTTAAAATGTACTACAGACTTACAGAGTAGAACAAGCCAGAAATTAGAATACCACCTGTAGGAAGAAAAAACCTCAATAAAATGAAAATAGAACAGTGAAAGCAACTCTGTGCAAAGAACCATCAGTAAATGATTATCAAATAACCCCATAGATAATAATTGAATAAATGGATGTGGTCACTTACGTACATTTCAGCTGTATCATTTAGTCCAGGGGAATGGACAGTTCGATGCAGTTTTTAAAACCACTGGAAATCAGTAATTTTCTTAGACCTATCACGTCCATTCTAATTGCATTCCCCCAACACACATTAAAAAGCACTTAATACTTTATTCCGTTTTTCTAGTCCTGGCATTCACCCTGCATTTTAAGGTTACGGCAATATGGAGGGGATATCCTTGTATCAGTTACTCCTGTCTTATCTTTAATTCATGAATGCTGTAAGACAAGCTAATGCAGCTGCTCATTTAAAAAAACAACAGCACACACACAATAATGTGAAGTGCCCTTCACTTAGTCTTGGTAGAGAAGAGGATGTTGCATTTTAAAAATAGATTCTAATAAAAAGGCCCTCCAGGTGGAGGAGACAAGGTCCTCGAGATATTAATCAGCCATCAATCTGAAGAGGAAACACTGGGACAGCCAGCATTTTTGTCATAACCTACACCACAAGGAGCTAGTGAGATAAAAATGCCTCCATCATATTCTAGTAGACCTGGTGATAAAAGCAAACACTGTAGAACATTCATTTTTCCATAGGTTGATTAGTTGTTTATACAGTGCTATTTGTTTGATTCACAAATGTAGTTGTTGCTTAGGAGTAGGCATGACTTGACATGAGGGGGAAAACAAAGAAATTTTGGTCTGGGGAGGGGGAATACAGAATGGAAGGTGTTACCAACTCCACTTCCAATTCTGAAGAATGCTTGGAAACTCTTCATGATGGGTCACGTAAATCCTTGCCCAGATGAAGACTACTTTGGTGGTAATTGATTTTGTCTCAGTGTAGGATGTAATCAGCAACCGTGCCAGACCCGGCTGAGAGATTATTTTCGGCACACAAAATGCTTTGATTGTGGTGACTTCTGTATCCTGCGTCTCAAGTTGGAATTCTGTGCCCATGAACACAGTGGGGCTTATACGGGATGTCTGAGTTAGCCCTTCACTGAGGTGCCAGTTCTCGTTCATGGAGCGGCGGTTATTTCAGAGTAACTGCTTACTTGGACGGCAACAGCCGATGAGGCCCTTGATGCCAGAAACATTGGACATCCTGGCATAGACTGTCTTTCGAGACACCATCCATCTAAACCTTGTTTCTACGTTGATGTGTGCTTAATTGGGAGAGAAGGTTTATTCTCTGCAACCATGTGGTCTAGAATATTGATTGAAAATGTAATTGTTGACAGACTACGACTCTCTTAAGGCCAGGCGTGGCAGGTCACCTACGTTTGGTGGTAGCTAAATTAGTTCTTCCCAAGTTTGGATTAGGCTCCTGGATCCCTGGGTTAACTTTGTCTCATGCCTCACCCCCTGTTAATTTTTAATGTCAAGAGAATCAAATTCCTGGTCGAAGAGGGAACTGAATTCCTTATCAAGTTTGATGTTGTAACCCAAGCATTCCGAATGTGGATTGTTTTGCCTGCGCGGCCAGGGGTGATGTTGAGGGCTGCATTTTCCAGTCGCTGTTGAACCCACTACCACATACAGCTACATCCGGGAATTTTTTATTTCCCATTTGAATATATTTTTGGGGTGTGTGTGGCTCCTAACTAATTCAAAAGGAAGGAACATTTTCCATATAACTCTTTGATATTTGCTAGGCTGTTTCTTATTTGGTTTGGATATTTAGTTTAACAAAGCCCAACATTATTCAGAAAATGTCTTTAAAATCTTCTCCCTGCGTCTTCTGATTACTTTCCATACACCCCGGCCCACTGCCATTTGCTGTCTTGCCTACCACGCAAAGATGGCAGGTTTCCCCTTCGGGCATGGGGCAGGAAAAGGGAAAGACATGGGAAAGCTCTCAGCGCCCTGTCAAGGACACGATCCAGTCCTGCAGTAAGGCTTCCATGGGAGGTGAAAATATGTGCTGCACAATTCAGAGTATTATCAAAACACTCCATCTGCCTAGACAATTCCTAGGGAGAAAGTCCAGAAACATGTGCGCTGCCTGGTTATTATTTTTCTCCCTTCTTATCAACCCAGGTTTTTTTGCATTCCAATGCAAAATAATAATATTAAAACGTACCCCTTGATTTGAAGGGACGAAGGACATTCTTTTGTTTGAAAAGACAGTCACCTCGAAAACTGTGGGCACAAGGGAGGGCTGTCTGCTGTTTTTTTGGTCAAGCTGTGGTTGAAACTCAGTTGCAGAGGAAGGGGGTCTCTGCATACAGATAGAGGCAGATTCAAGTGTGCAGGTGGGGCTTCTTAGCTCATGGCTGTATTGTTAGAAATTTTGAAATCCTCACCGATGCAGTCTTTCATATCAGCTTTCTTTCCTTTTTTCCTTCCCCCGTTCCAGGCCATGAGCATCAGTAAAGCCATCAACACCTTGGAAGTTCCAGTGAAAGAGAAGCACGCCCGCAGTATCCTTTTGGGGCCGCTGTGCCCCTTGGCCTCCTCCCATTCCTGGAGGTTCTTCCTCCTGGTTGGCCTTTACAAGGGCCTTTCTTCTCCCTGCTGATGCAACAGCACAATGCCAGCTAGCAAAGCAAAAGCTGGTCTCTGCCCCAAAGAGCTTTCAGTTTAAAGGTTGTCAGCTAGGAAGTGGGGGGAAGGAAGGAATGCCAGTGGCTTAGTGGAATGCCGACTTCTTGGCAATTTTATGGCATCAGATGGTATATAAGCAGACAGTATAAAGCAATGCAGGAGCCAGTGCTGGCGCCACAACCGGCGGTTTTCTGGGAAGGAAGAGACTGTGTTATGGACGGCCAAGTAACCGATTGGCATGCTTCCTGTATGCGTGTCCATTACTGTCTCTCACTAGACCCCTGGACACTGGGTTATACATTAGAATCCTGTGTCTGTTGGCATTCTCTAGGGACTGGTCCACGAATAGAACTTTGCACGAATCCACATACAGGATTTAGGGTTTCTTCACCCCCTTGTGTGCCCGATTTAAGATTGCCCTTGACTTTGACCCAGGGATCATTCTGGGAACTCATCACGAGAAAGGAGCATTTACGTTTTGGTCCTACGCGATCGGTCTTCCCCTCCCCAGCAGTGCCATCCTGAGCTGGAAGTTCTGCCACGTTCTCCACAAAGTCCTTCGGGACGGGCATCCGAACGTAAGCTTGCTCATTTTTACACAAAGGATACAACCTTTTTTCTAAAAAGTAATTCAGCTGCAACTGTACAATTAAGAAGGCGCAGAGATTCTTCCCTGAGATCATGTAAAAAGTTGGCTTTTGCCATCTTCTTGCACATGATTTGCAGCTGCATTTCTCCTCCAAAATAAAAGCCGCAAACCACTCTACAAAATCTTAATCACAATTATGCAGATAAAAGAAGCAGCGTTGAGACCTGTCGTTCTAATTACTCAGAGAAGATACATGACATTTTGGTGCTTGAACCGACATGGCTTGAGGACCCCTGTCCAAACAAGTTATTTGGGCACTTAAGGCAGAAAATCTTACTGTTTGCTATCCCTGGCAATCATAATGCAGCAACAGATTAATAACTGCTGCTGTTTTGTGACACCTAAAAGTCTAATACCCGAGGCAGCCACCTCATCCTGCCTAATGGTAGGGCCGTCCTGCTCTTAAGAACTGTCACAGACAGACAGACAGACAGACATACTTTACAGAAAACGTATCCTGCTCTTAAGAACTGTCAAAGACAGACACACACACTTTACAGAAAACTTAATTTCATGTTTCCTTTTCAGCTAATTTTCAGAAAACGTAATTTCATGTTTCCTTTTCAGCTAATTTTCAAATTCTTTGACTACTACATGTTTCTATCACCTGTCACCCAATTACATTCCAGCCCCCCTGTCTCTGAGGTAGCCTGATGAGATGTATTAATACTATTTGATAAGTACAGCTTGTGTTTCTAATGTCTTTGATTCTGTCCTCCATTGGCCACCTATCCTAGGTTCTTCATGACTGTCAGCGGTATCGAAGTAATATCCGAGAAACCGGAGACCTCTGGGTGAGTCTTACAAATGTGCTGATTGCCGCAGACATTGACATTTTTAAATGCTTTCTTCCAACGTTTTCCTGACCTGGGGTGGGTGGGGGCATATACATCCTTGGTAAGCTGCTACAGTGTCGCCGCCGAAGGTCTTACTTTTAAGATGGACCTCTTGTTCCATCGTTTTAGAGCAGGAAGGGTTGACTAGGGAAAGATGGCCAGTCCCTTTCCCCCATCCCACCCCAAGCTCTCGTGTAACATATGTTGGTCCCCTGAGCTTCTGCCATGTATGTGCCTGCAGGTGGGGGCCAGTTTTGCATCTCTTTACAGATAACAAGTTTCCTTCAGGGCTGCCCATCGTAGATCAAAATCTTGTGTGTGCTTTGATTTCTAAGTAGGGTCCCTTTTCTCGACAGGGCCACCTGCACGATCGTTATGGCCAGCTTGTAAATATTTATACCAAACTTTTGCTCACCAAAATCTCCTTCCATTTAAAGGTAATTCTTTGTCAAGTAACTTTCCATGTTTCACATCCTTCCTAATAACATTTTGGTGTTGGGATCAATTGCTTTCTGGTTTGGCGGTCAAGAGGAAGATGGTGTGTGTCATGAAACAGCACTAAATCTTTTTCTCTCTCTTGCTAACAATGGGAAGAGATGTTTTGGAGGTTTGCTGCTTCCTGTCCCCAATGTTATTTGGCTGGCTATAATAGGCTTTATTGTAAATTAGATGATGCCATTTGCTACTCAGGCAGCACCAAATCCTGTACTGACCCAAGTTTGCTGCCGTAAGATGTGTTCTGTTGGTCTGAACATCAAAATGGTGCTGTTCAGTTGCCAGTCCTGAGGTTTAAGAAGCCGGTTGGCTTGAACCTCTGCCCAAATCTGCCTGAGTGGTTCCCTCTTGGCCCTGCTGATGGGTTCTCAAACCTACTGACGCCTTCTCTGGTGGCCACCAGGCTGGTGTTTTTGAAGGATGGCAACTACGATCTTCAACTAAGTCAGATAGCTTGTTCTGCATAGGTTTGACCTGTCTGTTTTAACATCCAGGGCAGTGGTATAACATTTTTTTCTTCCTTTCTGTGCATGAATCAACATTTGAATATGCCAGATGTATGTGGGCAAAACAGCAAGGGTTTAGACAGCCCTCTCCAGAGTCACGTAAAGATTCTGGGTTGTGTCGTTGGGCAAGATGGAAATCTGCTCCGTTAACAAATGCCGACTGTTTTTCTTCCCGAAGCACCCAGAATTTCCCCCAGGCCTAGAAGTGACGGACGAGGTGTTAGAAAAAGCTGCTGGAACAGATGTGAATAACATGTAAGTTTCCCCCCACTGCCCCCCCCACACACTTCTGAGATTTTGGACAAAGCATAATGACTCCCTTTCTTCCCTGACGTGTCCAAAACGTGTCTCGTTAAGTATGCTTTGGAGCTGAGCTGCTCCCTTGCAGCCTGCCTCTGTTTCCTAAACTTTCAATGCCCGGGTCACGGCTTTATGTGCTTTTTGGCCTCCCGGATGTGTGTTTTCACCGAGTTTATCTGGTCTTCGGGATGGGATCACGGGATACGGAGTGGGAGGCTTCCCAAACAGACAGAAAACAACAAAATGCTTCCAAAACCTGGATGGTGTTTCATTTTCAAAGCCTGCACGTGAGGCCCGGTTGCAGCACCCAGTTTCGAGAGCCACTGGGTGAGACTCTCTCACCCTAGAGATGGTCATTAGCAGATCAGCCCAACAAATGGCCCTCAAGCTTCCACCATAGCAGAAGCAAGCCAGTTTGAGTCCGCCCACCACAGTTCAGCATTCCAGTGACATCCTGACCTGCGGTAGATTTAAAATTGGAGCAGACACATGCAGCCAGTAAGCGTGTTCTGTTGTTTTGACGACAGTAACATCGCGCAGGGGACCCCAAAGGATGCTATCTCTTGCTCTGCTTAGGCAGCAGAAGGTCTCTGTCCGGCCTTTGCGTGAGAGCCCCTGTCATATGGGAAAGCGGATTAGTTAATTTTTAAGACTACAAAGCCCAGAGTTCTCCACCAAGCACGGACTGACTGGTTAAGGATTAAGAACATTGTCATCCAAAGTAAGAACGTATCTCAGTTCTGTGAAAAGGAAATCGAATGTTTGCCTCTTTTCACATCCACTGGCCTTTGTTTCATCCTGAGAAGAATAACCTTTTGGGTTTTTTTTAATTCCCTGTAGCTTCCAACTGACGGTGGAGATGTTTGACTACATGGATTGTGAACTCAAGCTCTCCGAGTCAGGTACACTGCTGTCCATGTTCCTTTCTTGTCTTTTCAATATTTAATAGCGCTCTTCTCCTCTCTGTTTCTGCACCCAGACAGATCTGTGTCTCCTTTGGTGTTCCTATCGAACAAAAAAACTATGTTCATCTGCTCATGTGCGTTTTAGGAGCAGTGAAAGCTGCAGAAACCTGTAGGCAAAGTTTGTTCAGAGCCTGGGAACCGTCACCACTTCCTGATGCCTGTAGACCAAAATGCTGTTAAAGGCACAGAACCTATTGGGGGGGGATTGTTTATAGCAGTTCGCCGCAAACAGTTTCTTGGCTAGGAAGCGAACAAGAGCACGCTGGATAGCTCAGGGGTTTGGCTTCTGGTTGCAGAGCCATTGGGTTGGGAGTTCGATTCCTCCCCCCTGGACCTTCGTGGCAGGGCGCTGGACTCAGTGATCCAGAGGGTCCCATTCCAGATCCACAGTTCTAAGAGTCTGGCTGCGGACTTTCTTCTGCACAGGCTCTTTCTTAGCAGAGGGCTCTCCGAGATTTTCCTGAGGCGGGGCCCCCAATAGATCTGTCTTTGCTGCTGTTCCCCCTCGCTCCTTCCACTTGTCATTTCTGGGTTGTCTGTGGCAGGGCACTGGACTCAGTGACCCAGAGGGTCCCATTCCAGATCCACAGTTCTAAGAGTCTGGCTGCGGACTTTCTTCTGCACAGGCTCTTTCTTAGCAGAGGGCTCTCCGAGATTTTCCTGAGGCGGGGCCCCCAATAGATCTGTCTTTGCTGCTGTTCCCCCTCGCTCCTTCCACTTGTCATTTCTGGGTTGTCATGTGAACCTGGCCGGCCTTCTGCTTTTGTGGCAAGGCTGTGTTTGCCTCTGGTTAATGATCAAGCTCCCATAATCTGTACCGACGGTGCTCGGTCTTACCCGGCAGCAACCTGAGTAAACAGAGGTGCTGAGAGCCACTAGTGGCTAGTTCAGTGGTGGGGAAATCACAGCTGCCCCCTTTTGGTGTCCGTCTTTCTCCAGAATAAAATGATTCACCCATTTAGCTAATTTGGACCCTAGTCTGTAGCAGAAGAATAGGATATAAAAGCGATCAATAGTAACTAAGCAGTGCTAAATCTCTCTGGTTCCTGTTGATTTTTTCCCTTGTCCACGTTTTCCACGTGCACATCCGTCTGTAGAGCACCTGCAGGCCTGACCGTAACCTTTTTGCAGTTCTTTGTGCCAGTGGTGGTAAGGCTACGACTACTACTAATAGTAGTCATTTTCCCTCTGCTAGCCTGCCTTTCTGTCCGTATATAAAGTTAAAATGCAGTAAAACCAAGCGCTCCAGGATTGGGACATGAAATCACCCTCACCCCTCCTCTCGTTCCCCTCAGTTTTCAGGCAACTCAATACCTCCATGGCTGTTTCCCAGATGTCGGCGGTTCAGTGCCGGCTGGCTCCCCTCATTCAGGTGATCCAGGACTGCAGCCACCTCTACCACTACACGGTGAAGCTGATGTTCAAGCTCCATTCCTGTAAGTTGCTCCGGGGGGAGGTGAAAGGATGGGTGGGCTTCAGGCCAGACTCTCGGTTCTTGGGCTGGCACTTGTCAAGGGGCTCCGGGGTCTGGTGCTAACGGCACCTTGACGTGGTTGATTTGAGGAAGAAACCGCTGTTCGTACCTAAGGTGTGTGCTTTGTAAGTTTAAAAAAATGGCCAAGGTCCCTTTCTTGCCCTTGAAACGAACACAAAAGACTAATCTCCACCCCTTCACCTTTTCTAAACTAAATCAGGGCTCTTGATGGGTGTGTGTGAGAGAAAGAGAGACCGAGTGGACGATGAGCTCAGTCAGGTGGTGAAAACCACATCCTGGGCTGAGCGTGTGTTCCTATATTCTACATTTAGTTCTGCTCCCTGGCCCCCACCCCCAATCTCCAGGCCCCTGTGGGTGAAGCCTGGGTTTCTAATCAAAAAATGAAAATGCAGGCAGCTTCCGCCATCCGGAGGTCTCCCTACTCTTGCTTCATGAACATAAGGCCCAGCCGCTCTCCTGTCCTGTTCTAGCTGTTGCTGGCAAGACTGTGTCTGAGCGGCACGGCTTCCCAGTGCCGAAGGGGACTTGCCCAGTTTGAAAGCAACCTTCCAACAGTGCGGTCCTTTGTGAGGAGGAGCAGGAGCATCTCCCGGAGGAAGCCAAGTGGCGTTCTTCTCCCTGCCAAGAAGGTTGGATTTCCTGCCTGGAGGGAAGTTGGCATTTGAGACCCATTCCGTGGGGTCAGGCCCATTTCGCAGTCTAGACGGCATGCCTTTGAACACTGGATTCCTACCTCAAACGATGCCGATCACAGATTCCTTTTGAGAGCTCACAGGGATTCTTTGGCAGATGGGCCGGTTTGGAATGGATCCCCTGAAGGGAGAAAGTTTGCAAACAGCCGAGTTCACGTCCCCTATTTTAATCAGAACTCTACAAGTTACAGCACAGATGGCATTTTTGTGAAGGCTTCAGGCTGTGCCAGCCAGAGAGATATAAAATACTGATGATTTTGCTTCAGAGCCAACGGGTGAGCTGAATCCACCCATTGAGTATCCATCCACTCCCCAGAGGAATTCCTTATGGGTAGACACTGCTGTTATATATTATTACTGAGTAATTTTATTGCATGAGGCAAAGGAGCCATCAGCTGCCTGAGCCAAATAGGACTTCAAAAAAGCCAGGTTGTTCTGCCACTGGAAAAAGAACATTGTAGAAGCGTCTCTCTTTCTCTCTCTCTCTGGATCTCCAAGAGTAGCAGGAATGAGGGAAAGAACTCTTGCTTCAAGCCGCTGGCGCTGGTGTTTAAGGGAAAAGAGGCGAAGGCGAAACTCTGTCCATTAGGTCTTAAACCTGGGGTCTTCCGCGTGTGGCAAGGTCAAGTCAAGCCCAGGTGTGTCGGGTCGTCTCCCGAGCCCACAAGGAACGGGACCAGTAAAATAGGTTTAGAATTCTGGGAAGGAAGGCCGTGTATTTCATGACACAACTCAGTAGCTGTGTGAGGCTTTTGGGGCACTGTGTGTTTTCCTTTCAGAACTTTTAGCCTTTGGGTACCTTTAATTTGTATGTAGCCTTTCTCTGTGGTTCTTAGAGGAGCTTACAAGCAATACTAAGACAGTGCCACTAATATTATAAAGGAAGAAACAGCATCCTTCAGCGGTCAGACTGTGCTCAAAAAATAGCGTAGCTCTTCAGGCGTTGTGAGTTCTGTTTGTCTATTACCTAATTGTTTATTCATTACGTTTACACCTTGCATTTCTGTGAATCATGGCATGCAACAATAAAAGACATTAGAAAATCAAAACAGAATTAAACACATCCGTTTTAAAAATGCCAGCTGTGGAAACTGTTCCAACAAGAGCAACACAGCTTGCCCTGCCAAAGGCTGCCTTGAAGGAAACGTTCTTTACCTGCCGTCGGTACTTGATGCTGCCGAGCCATAATGTCTGCCTTGGGTGTGTCTGCTTGGAGAAGTTCTCGCAGGAGCTGCGGTGATGACAGATCCCAGCTCTTCCCCCATCTTTAGCGCTCTCTCTCTCTCTCTCTCTCTCCCAGTTTCATGGTTTTCTGTGGCTTGTTTTTTTCTTCCTTTTGCAGGGGGGGGCACTTTGCAAAGGGAAGCCAGACTGGCTGGGATACCTTGAGGGGGAAGAATGGCATCCAATGGTGTCTGAGTTCTCCTCCTGCCTGAGAATTCACTTGCACCTCCTGGCCTTTGGGCTCTTCTGGGGAAATGAGAAACGGGGGCTCAGCCCCCTCTGTTCAGGGCGTCTGCGGCAACCGGCTCCTGTTCTTTTGCCTTCTTCAGGTCTGCCGGCTGATACCCTTCAAGGCCATCGGGACCGGTTCCACGAACAGTTTCGCAGGTAACGCAGCTTCATTTTTCTTTCCAGATTGGGGTGGCCCAGGTGCCTGGAATGGACTGCCAGGCCGCTGAGGGAGGAGAGGGTGAACCTTGGGGGTTCACCCTTCCTCCCTATTTAAAAAAATGACATAAAACCAGTTCTCTACGCATCGCTTTTTCAAAGGGAGAGGTTCTAACCTTGACCTTCTCCTGGACGTCCCAAGAGACTTTTGTGTGTGTGTGTGGACTAGAGCAGTGTTTTCCGTCCGTGGGGGGACTCTTACCTGCAGCTTGAAGTGGAACCAAGGTACAGGTGTCGCTCTTCAGTGGGAACCATGCTGCACTTGTTGAGAAATCTGTCTGTGTGTGGGTCTGTCTGTGTGTGTGTCTGTCTGTCTGTTACGTACAGGTGTTGCTCTTCAGTGGGAACTATGCTGCACTTGTTGAGAAATCTCTGTGTGTGTGTCTGTCTGTGTGTGCGTGTGAGCGAGCGAGAACAGAAATGAGAACAAGAATGAACAAAGAAACTCTGCAGGGTAAAGAGTTATTTCAGCTTTCAAGTCTCTCCTGTTTCTCCATTTATTTGTTCAATTTATGTCCCACCTTCTTCACCAAAATGGGATTCAACGCAGTTCAAAAATAATGTGCAATTAAAACAAAAACGAGAGCAGCTATTAAAACAAAATCAAAGTAAAAGGACAGTTTAAAACACTTCACTTTGGAAAAGTAGAGCTCCCAACTGATTACAAGCTCTGTCCACAGCACCCCTAAACCCACCGAATAAAGTGAAGTTTTTACCTGCTGGCAGAAAGAGAGGAGAGGAGGGTCTGCTAGGTAGGCGTCTTGCTCAACAGGGCAGTTTAGAAAGGATGCCTTTTTTTGGCCTGCAACTCCCAGAATCCCTCAGCCCGCAGAAGTGAAGCTGGCTGGAGGATTCCAGGCTTTGTCGTCCGAAAAAGGAGCCCGTTCTGCTCAGTTCAGATGCTTCGTCCTCCCCCGCCTTCGGCCTCCAGATCGATCGCTCTTTCCTCCTCCACAGCCTTAAGAACTTCTTCAAGAGAGCCTCAGACATGCTGTATTTCAAGCGGCTCATCCAGATCCCCCGACTACCGGAGGTACGGTCTTCCTTTTGACTCCCACTGCTGTGGCGTCCCTAGTTTTCCAGAAATGAGGCTCCCGGACTCATTGAGGAATGGACTTGTCTGTGTGTGGTTTTTTGGGGGGTTGGCCTGCCTGCCCCTACCCCAGGGCGTCTAGGACAATACCTGGGCCAAATGAATACTCGTGATGCTGTGGTTTCCAGGGGCGCAGCCTATTCTAACCCCCCTCCCCCGGCCAGGATGTCTGACTCCTTTTTCCTGTCTACCCCATCCCACCCCACCCCGCCTTCATTCACAGAACCCTCCCAACTTCCTGCGGGCATCGGCTCTGGCCGAACACGTGAAGCCTGTCGTGGTGATCCCGGAGGAAGCTCCGGAAGATGAAGAACCTGAGGCCCTGATTGAAATCAGCACAGCCCCAGCGGTGGAGCAGCAGCAGCAGCCGCCGGTGAGGAGGCGGCTGGGCGCCTTTTGCTTCAGGTCCTCCTGGGGCCCTGAATCTTTCTGGTGAAAGAAAGGGGAGCCGTGGGGTCATACAACACACAAGCTTTTGTGAATCAAGGCCTTGAGCCATGAAAGTTTGCGTATGGTAGGATGAATTTTTTTAGTGGTCTATAAAGGCACCACCTACTTTTGTATTTGCGTTTTACGACTCTTTCTGAGTGACCTGCAGCCAGTTGCTCTCTTGTTTAGCCAGACTTAACGAGCTATTGCAAATAGAGTAGGGAGCAGAAGGGCCATATCTGCAGCCTTGAGGTGGCTTGCAAAAAAGCAGGATATAAGTGTTGTATAAGGCAAGGGGTAGATGGCATGACACAACCCAACCCAAGGAATAGGCAGGATTGCACGAGGAATGGAGCCACGTAACGATCCGGGCCACCAGCCAAGGGAAACACGGCTACCATCAAAAGCTTCTGTTGTATAATCCTTTAATTAATTGTCGCAATACAGCCCAAACTGGATAGTTTTTAACAAGCAGCTGCTTCCTTCCTGACATCTGTCCTCGAGAGTCTTGCGTTGTGCTGCCGTTTCAGCAGCTCCCCCTTTGCTCCTGCTGTTATTTGGTGCTGCCACACGAGGGCACATTCAGAAACAGATCCACTGCCGGACTGTTGAAGAAATGCTTCACTTTGATGATGATGTCTTTGCTTTATTGCATATTTTTTTTAAAAAAGGAACTTTCTCTTTGGGAATACAAAAGCATATAAAGAATTTACCTCCCACTGGTCTATCCTTCTACTTTTTTCTTGTCTTTTCCAGATTGTTTCTGATATATTTGAGCAGACTTTTGGGCCTCCCAACGGTTTGAGAGATGACAGGTAAGGGCTGTTTTCTCAGGAAAACGGAAGGTGAGCTTTCAGCCAGCATCTGTAATAATAAGGTGTAGCATTTATATAGCATTTGAATTGATCAAGTAGTAGATCAATTCTGTTGCAGATCCCCTGCTTGTTTCCCCCATAATACTTAACCCTGCAGCATTTTGTTGCAGATCCCCTGCTTGTTTCCCCCATATTGTTGATGGGAGGTTGATTCGTTGAAATGAAGGAGGGATTATCATCACTTTTGTTGACTTCACAGCAGTGATGTGAGGTTGATTCGTTGAAGTGAAGGAGGGATTATTATCACTTTTGTTGACTTCACAGCAGTGATGAGGCTCTGCGGGCAACCTGCTCATGCCTTACGCTCTTCACCACTACTTGATTCCTGCTCAAGACTTAAGGACTGTTCTCTTTGCCTTCAGGGATCTCCAAATTGAAAATCTCAAGAAAGAAATTGATCTGCTTCGAGGAGAGCTGGAGAAGATTAAGCTTGAGGTAAAGTCAGACTCCTGTGCCTGTGGTGCCGTTCCACAGGGATACAGCTGTCTTATTTAACACCCAAATTCCTAGCCTTTCTACAGTCAGTCAAAATCCCTGCTGAAATCCGGGGAAGTTCCAAGCATTGGCTGGACAGGGGTTAGATTCCTGTGCCCGTGCTGCCGTTCCAGAGGGATACGGGGAAGTTCCAAGCATTGGCTGGACAGGCGACTTTTCCCTTGGTATGGCTCGGTTCACCTAGGGCTCAAGAAGGCCAGCCAGCACCCTGCAGGTCCAGTTCCTTGTGAAAGGGAAGCCACACACTTTACCCTGTTCACACACAGACAAGTGAGAGAGAAAATGTGAATGGAATTCCATTTATTTAACCTGAAATCAAACATTAAGGGGTGGAGGGGCAAAGGGAGTCGAGCCGTATGTGCATCTCCCTAGTTCAAGTTTACAAGGGTTTGGCAAAGCGACCTGCGGGGAATGAATCAGGCTTTGGAGAAAACTGACCCTCCCCCAGTCTGGGCCCATCCAGCCATGCTGCACCGCTGTTCCCATCATCCCCGTGGTTACTTGTTTAGGGCTGGTCAGAACTGTAGTGCATTTACGCTTGGAAGGCAGCTCTATGTGAGCTGTTTGAGCACGTGGGTTAATCCTGAAGTTATTCGAGTGGGAAAAGGTTTTCTCTTGTGCCATCTCTTCTGCCGTGCCTTGTGCGGATATTTCTTAGCAGAAGTGTTGATGCACCACAGCAGGCACCCTGAAGGAACAAAGTTTCAAAAGTGATATGTCTCGTTGCAAACACCCTGCGTCCCATCTTTCTTTTTGGTCTGTCCTTGTTCCTGGCGTTCAGGCTCAGAGGTACATCACTCAGCTAAAGGCTCAGATTAACAGCCTGGAGGCAGAAGTCGAAGAGCAGAGGAAGCAGAAGCAGAAAGCTCTGGTGGACAACGAGCAGCTCCGGGACGAGCTGGAGAGGCTGCAGAAGGCCAAGCTGGAGGGGGACAAGAGCCGGGGGCTCTACCTCGAAGCAGAAAGTGAGCTGTGGCCGGAGGCAGTGGGTGGGGTCGGGCGTGGCGGGGGGATCCACGGGCCAGGGTTCCCTTGGGAGGTCCCGGTGTTGTCGCCCTTTCCCAGGAAGAACGGCTGTGCTGAGTCAGATCCTCAACCTCTCGCTCCCTAAAATCCCCCCCCTTTAAGAATTCACCTCCGAGTCCACCAAGATGGGCTCCCGTCCTCCCCTTGCCATCCAACCTCACCACTGCCGGTCACTGCTCGAAGAGCCAGCCAAACCCAAGGCGTCCCTTCTTGTCTCTTTATCAGAGAAAGCCAGCGCCACTGAAGTCCGCTACACGAAGCTGAAAGAGAAGCACAACGAGTTGATCAACATCCACGCGGAGCTCCTGCGGAAGGTAACGGGTGCTTGCCCCCCCACGCTCTTTCCTTGCGTTCTTTTTGGAGTGATGCTGTAGAAGGAGCCCTCCTTGGCCATGGGGTGGGGGGTTCACCAGGACCGTGGCCTAAAGGTGTCCCTCCAGCATGGTGCAGTGGTTTGTGTTGTCCTGGCGCTGGGGAGAGCCCGGCTCAGATGGCTCACTCTGCCACGAACCTGGTGGGGTGGCCTTGCTAGCTTGTGTCCTACCTTGCAGGGCTCACGTGAGGATAACTGTAGAAATTGCCAAGCCCATTGGAGGAAAGACAAATGAGGGGCACAGATGCTTTCCCTTCACTTACTCAGGGGAAGCTTACTCAGACTGGGAGCAGAAATGGGGAGGGCCCGTCATTCTAAGGACCAGTGCAGCCCTAGGGAGGAGTTTTCAGTTGCCATCGCTTCTCGGTTATTTTCTCCGTCTTTGTGCCCTTTGGTAACCCATGCTCCTTTTATCCCTAGAATGCAGATACTGCCAAGCAGCTGACGGTCACCCAGCAGAGCCAAGAGGAGGTCGCCCGGGTCAAGGAGCAGCTGGCCTTCCAGATGGAGCAAGTGAAGCGAGAGTCTGAAATGAAGGTACCCCCCCTCTGCAGACGGTCAAGAGGGATCTCTTGCTTCTGTCCTTGTTGCCTTCGGGCATCTTTCGGCCCTTGTTTCCCCCCCCTCCCTTCTTCGGAACCTGGAAGTGGAGTTGAACGTTTGGGGATCCGGGAACAGGAGGGCTGCCCCTTGAAGAGGCTGGGTGTAGAAGGGGCTGGCTGCCTTTTGGGAGAGGAGACCACAGCGGGCAAGAGAGACTTGAGAGCTAAGCTCGAACCTTTCCTTAGCGCCCGATGAGGCCATTGTGTGGCCCTTCACACAACAACTATCTTGCCAAGGATGGACATGTCTGGAGAAAGAAAGCCTCATCTGGGTGGGAAGAGTAGCGGCCAGCAAAGGATCGGGGCCCGTTCTCCCTTTGTCTCACAAGGTCTGTGTTCTTGTTCCTCCTCTGGTTGGGTCCGCGTAGCTGGAAGATCAGACGCTGCAGCTGGAACAGGTGAAGAGAAAACTGGAGTCCAAGGAGGAGGAGCTGGCGCAGCTGCAGCAGTCGCTCTGCCACTCGAAGCAGGTCAGGCACCAGCGTGAGAAGGGCTGTTTAGGGGAGTGGGGAGCGCGCAGTGACACCTCCCCCCCGCCCATTGGTAACATGGGCTTGTGTTTCCTTGAGCGGCCTTTCCTGCTCCTCCCTTGCAGTGTGTCTATAAACGAACACTGAGCCCCTCTCCCGTTTTGACTTCTGCGTTTTTTAAAAAAAACATGAAATGCCCTCTTTGCCCTGGAATTCATGGCTCAGGCGTTCCATCTCTGCCCAAGACTCCGGCAGGATCCACACACTGAGATTGGAGGAGAGGGAGCGTCTCCCTTGTGCCTCTGTCCTCAGACTCAGAGCTTCCTCTTGGGTCCAGCCACCTTGAGAGCCTAAAGCCTATGCCACAGGGGGGTGGGGTGGGGTTTGGTGCCCTGTAGTGGAAAGGGTGGGGCTGACCTGAAGAGCCTCCTCTCCATGTGTCCATCCCCCCCCCTCTGCCAAACCCTGCAGGTGGGCTCCGATCTCGGCAGTCAGCTGGAAGCCCTCCAGACCGAGAAGGACGTGCTGAGGAAATCGGTCACGGAGAAGGAACAGGAACTCATTGCCGCAAAGGGCCTGATCCAGGAGAAGGAGCTGCTGTTGAGCCAGGAGACAGAGAAGCGGGCAAAGGAAATCCAGGAAATGCAAGGAAAACTCACCGAGAAAGTGAGTTTGGCTTTGTCCGGGAGGCAAATCAGTCTCAGGAAGCTTTTCTCCTGCATAGGAGAAATTGGAAGATGTGAGGAGTTCAAAAACAGGGAGGGACCAAAGAAAGAGAGAGAGGTGCTCTTTTCAGGAATTGTAACTCCCAGGATTCCACTGGGTTCATGCTGGCCATGATCTATGGGGAGCTGTAACTTAAAAGAAGTTACCTTTTCTGCCCTTAAGCTGCCCTTTCTGAGAAGGAAAGGAGATAACAGGGCTGAGGAAGGCAACAAACACCATTTTAAAAACATTTTCTGGTCCCTCCTGCGCAGAACAGTCAAGAGCAGAAGCTGCAGCAGAAGCTTCTGGAGGACCAGTTCAACCTCCTGCAAGGAACCGTCAAGGAGGTGGAAGGCATCATTCAGGACGCCGTCGGCAAGCTAGACGACCCTTTGCACATCCGATGCACCAGCTCACCAGGTCTGGAGGAGAAGGCGGCCCAGGGAGGGGTCGCTGGACAAGTTGCATCTACGCAAAAGACTGTGGTCTCTAACTCTCTCTCTCATGCACAAACCTAACTCTGTTCTGTGTCTCTCTGCGCAGATTACCTCATCAGCCGTGCGCAGGCAGCCCTTGACTCCGTGAAGGCTGTGGAAAGTGGACATGGGCGGTACGTGGCCCACATGGCAGGTAAGAGCCACTGGGTGCTTCTGCTGCTGCATTTCTCTTCCTTGGGGACTCTTGTGCGGGCGTGTCATCAGAGAAGGGCTGTTTCACTGCAGATCACTCCTCCCTGGTACCTGAAATGTGTTTTTCTTCAGTTTCTTCTCTTTTTTCCACAAAAAATAAATACGAGGAAGGGGGGGGGAAAAAGAGGCCCAGTAAACAACTGGCACTGCTTCTTCTTTTTTTGTCTTACTGCTAAAGTTTCAATTTGATTCCAAATCTGGATACTACTGGCAATAAGAGCAACACAAGGGAGCCTGGCATTTGCGTCTCCTTTGGCAGGTGGTTACAAACCAAGGAAGACCGACGCGAAAGACGCAACGTTCTGCCCCTTTGCCCCCCGGTCGTGGTTTTCCCTTAATGCCACCCATTTGGCTGAGCTTTCGTATCCCCTTTTTTTCTTGAAGAGTCTAATCTGCATCTGTGTCTTTCTCTTTCAAGATGCCACTGGACTGGTTGGCGCTCTGGCCCAGTTTGCCCACCTGACTGCAGACGCCATTGTCAACGGCAGCGCCACGTCCCACCTCGCGCCCACGGACCACGCGGACAGTGAGTAAACGGGAAAGGTGCTTTGTTCTGAACAGGAAGACCCAGTGGATAACAAAATCACCAGCTGTGCAGCATAAAGCAGCCCAGTCCAATGAGGGCAGGAGTGGGTGTTTTTGTTTTTGAAAAATTTGTGCTCCCTTCCTCCAAGCAGTCACCATACAAGTAGCTCGCCATCAGAGGAGATGCCGAGAGCAATGTGTTTGGAAACAGTGCTCTGTATCCTCCTCCACCACCACCTACATTCCAAGATATAAGAGTATTTCTAGGCCCTGTAAAAGTCTTAGCATTCCGATTTCTCTCCCCCCCCCTTCTTCCTAGAACTAATTGAGACCTGCAGAGATTGTGGCCAGAGGAGTCTGGACTATCTGGACAAGTTAAAAGACAAACGGTCTCTCCGACAAGCGGACCTGGAGGACGTGAGGAAGACGCTGCGGGGGATCCTTCAGCTGGGGCAGGTGCAGAGGGGAACTGAGGCGGCCGGGAGGTGGGTGGAGAGAAATGAGGTTGGACTGGAGGTGCCGGGTGGGTAGAGACCTGTCCTTCTTTTTCCTTGCTGATAAGGAAGAAGCAAAGCATACCAGTGACCATTTATTAGAAGAGCAGGCACTTTCATCATTTATATAAGGACTCTGCTTATATCTGCCATTTGGTAGAAGTTCGGGCAGCTTGTATCCTTAAGTGGTGAGGGTCACTTCAGGCAACAAAGTTCAGCTGCCACAAAAGGGAAGTGAACTACGGAGAGGTACTTGTGGGTTCTCTCTGCCTACACATAACACCCCACACTGCCATACTTCTACAACAGCTTGTCCGTCTTTGGATACCACAGACATTGACTCGAGTGGGTCGGGAGAGCCTGTTTGTTACCTGCAGCGGCTCCATCCCTGGAAGGACTGAGGGCCCGCTCTGCCTCTATTATTTACTTGATTTACTCCCTTTTTTTCCTGTTTGTCTCTGGGCAGGAACTGCGGCCCCAGAGTCTGGATATCCGGCAAGAAGAACTGGGTGACATGGTTGACAAAGAAATGGCCTCCACCTCAGCTGCCATCGAAGACGCGGTCAGGAGGATCGAGGTGAGGCGGCCGATGCAAGGGGCACGTCCTCTCCCTTGGCAAAGAAGAGTTCTGGGGGAAATTCTTCCTCACTCCACACAGCCGAAGGGCATTTATTTGACATTGCAGAATAGGACCAGGAGCGAGACCACAGGCTTTTAAAAAGGAGCCGGTGACACGACTGTCTGGGCTGAACCTTCTGAAGCCAGGAGATCTTCAAATCCTAGTGGCTTGAGAGTAACCCCATGGCCACTCTGCTCCGCTCAGCTTTGACAGGGTTCCTAGAAATCCCTGGCTGGCTGATGCTGGGACAAGGAAAACAAGACTTCTCACAAGGAGGCTGACCGCCAGCCAGTTGTGGGGCTGGCAGGTGATGTCCATCTGAATGCAATTCTTGTTGTTTTTGCAGGAAATGATGAACCAGGCCAGGATAGAGAGCTCTGGCGTTAAACTAGAAGTGAATGAAAGGTGAGCCGGGGGAGGCACGGCTTTGGAATTGATCTGATTGTTAGTGTAAAAGTATGTGCTTTGGACACACAAGCACCAAATCCACTCTCATCTTCCATTGAAAGGAGCCTGTTCATTTTAACAGTATTTCTGTGGAAAGTTTTTAACACCATCACCATCTGAAACCCACCACTCAGCCATGAACCTCGCTGTGAAAATGACCATGGGCAAGTCCTTACAGTTCTGGCTCTTGTCTACATGGCATATTCGCTGTGAAGGGTAGAAGCAAGAGCCAGCCCTCTGTAACGGCAGCCTGAGCTTCCAAGTGTGCACACTGTTGCTGCTGCTGCTGCTGCTGAAGACAGCCAGGACTCCTCGGGAAAAGCCTCAAAGAAGGAAAGAGGGCATAAACGGGCTCTCACAGGTCCCCGAGACAAACCATCCAGGCAGAAACAGATTATGGGGCATGCGTTGTGACATGCCCGTTACATGTGTGCGCAATTGCTTTTAAAATCCGATTCCAGATTTTGAGGGCTTGGATCATTCCACCGGGAGGTACTGAGCATCTTCTTTCTTTGTGTCTCACAGGATCTTGAACTCCTGCACAGACTTGATGAAGGTGAGCGAGCGGGTTTTTAAGTGTCATTTTAAGCCCCTCCTCAGTCTGTGGGAAAAGCCCATCTGGTGCCAGATGGGAAGAAGCGATCCCGTTCTGCCTGTGGTTAATCGGAGCTTTAGATAATCGGCACAACCTTTCCTCTAAGGTCAATGTTTTCTGCCCTAAAAGGCCTGGGGGGGGGGGGGGACTGCCGTACTGTAGCTGGGCATCTGAAGGACAGAGAAACCTTTTTAGTAAGCAGAACAGCTTGTTGCTTGTGTGTCCTCCAGGCCATCCGGCTCCTTGTGATCACCTCTACGAATCTGCAGAAGGAGATTGTAGAAAGTGGAAGGGTAAGGCGGCTGAATGTGGTCGGCGTTGGTCTTTGTTTGGGTTTAAAAGGGGGCACTTTTGGGAGAGAGAAAGCCTGCATTCTTGGCCGGCCAGGCGGTCTCCCATCCTCCTTGGGTCACTCCTGTACTTTGTGAGCCTTCAAGCAGGGTCTTGTTTCACTCTGGGTCTCTGCAAAGCCATTACTACGTTTACACCTGCTAGGGGTGAGGTGATGATGGAGTTCGGTGCCCAGACTCAGCAGGGACAGGGGGAAGAAGTCACTGCCATGCAGAGCGGGTGGCAGGAAGGCAGGAGAATCCACTCGCCTTAGGAGCCACAGTCAGAGCATTGGGACTTCTAGGCGAACTGGGTCCACCTTTTTCTTGAAGCACTGAACAAACCTTTTTAAGACTGTTCTCTCCCCTTTGGAACACTAGGGGGCAGCAACACCGCAGGAATTTTACGCCAAGAACTCCCGTTGGACAGAAGGGCTCATTTCGGCTTCCAAGGCAGTCGGATGGGGAGCGACGCAGCTCGTGTAAGGTGGCTGGCTGGCTGGCTTTTGTTTCTTAGCTGCTGCTTTAAAAGAGGAGAGCCTGTATTTGGAAAAAGGCACGCCTAACCTCGGCTGAGTGTGGGTTTTTTCTTTCCTTGCTTCCTCCTTCAGAGAGTCTGCAGATAAAGTTGTCCTGCACACGGGAAAATACGAGGAGCTCATTGTCTGCTCCCATGAAATTGCAGCCAGCACCGCTCAGCTCGTCGCTGCCTCCAAGGTAAGGAAGGGGCCGCAAAGGCTCTCTTCTCTGGGCTGCCTTTTTGCTCCCCTTGAACTAACAGTCCGCAGCTTTGCACCAGCTTCTGTCCGCCTCTGAGACTTTCAGTTCTTGTGGCAACACAAGGGGAACTTCGATCTGAGGGCTTGCAAAGGCAAAACCACGCACAGCTAGGCTGGAGTTTTGTAAGTTCTAAAGCACTCCCCCCTCTACCCACCCCAGCGTACAAGGACAGGGAAGCAGGCTTTCATCTTAGCCGTCATCACAAATGAAGAGCCTCTTCCATCTTTCTTCTCCCTTGGCTGTTCCGCTTGGAGACGATGGGAGCTGCAGTCGGCTCTCTGGTGTTCCCCGACCCGGCTGTCGGCGGTGGACTGATGGCCCTTCCTACTTACGACTTGTAAATCCTTGTGTCGCTAATTCTGCCACCAGACGAGGGCTGTTTGAAAACTCCTGGACGAGGACACTTCCAGGCAAAATGTTTGTGCAATGGCTCTGCCCATCCACGGCATTTTATGTGTGGCCCATTAAGTTTGTAGGATGCCGTCTCCCCCCGCTGCTACTGCTCAAAGCATTACCCACCTGCTATGAAAGCGGGAAGTGGTGGTTTCACTTGTGTATTTTCCTTACATACCAAGCACTTACCTTCTCAACGGCAGGTGAAAGCAGAGAAGCACAGCCGGCACCTGGGCAAGCTGCAAGAATGCTCGCGCACCGTCAACGAGATGGCCGCCAACGTTGTGGCTTCCACAAAGTCAGGCCAAGAGCAGGTGGAAGACAGAGGTAGGGCATTCATGGGTGTCATGGGGGCGAGGGGGGCATGGAAGGAGGGGAGAAAAGAAGCGCCAGGCAACAGCCATATTCTCGTCGAGTTAGATCTGTTAAGGGAGGCCTCTTGGTTGGGGATTTCTTTACCAGAAGAATGGTGGAGTGAGGAGAACCCAAGGAACATTAAAATGTACAGTTAGTGTTCCATATTTTAACTTTTTTTCTCCAAGGAAGTCAGTTTCCATCCTTTTTTTCATGTTCCTTACAACCACCCTGTCAAGTTTGTTTTGTTGGGCAGCATGAACTGGCCTGGAGTCTCCCGCGTGCTCCTTGGCAGAGCGGGAATCCAAGCCCGGGAGCTCCCCTTGCGATAGGCCCACCTCGCCAGCCGCCGTTCCACACAAGGGCCCCTCTGTCCAGGATCTCCGTTCTGTTCCTCTTGGCAAGAGAAAGCCAACCTGAAGAGCTGGGGTGCAGCTCGGCACTGTGACCAAGGACACAGAATTGCAACAACGGCTGCTTAAAATCCCTGCTTGGCTTTTCAGAAACGGGCAGGAAAGGGCAAGGGGGAAACGCCATTTCTAGCTATGTATGACTATTCGTTTTTCTGCCTGGCCCCTCAAGAGTCTTCCAGAGAACTAGAAGGAGCAGCTCTTCAAATTGCCTCAGGGCTCAACAGAAATACACATAGTGGTAGTATTTAAGTTACTACAGAACGCTATCAAGCACCATTCTTAGCCTGAAATGGCCCTCGGTCTCTCCTGCCCATTCGAGCATCTTTCTCCTTCCAGAAGCAGTCCTGGGCTTTCCCTGTCCTCCCATCCTCCAATTTTATGGGAAGTATAGATGCACCTACTGGATAACGTTTATTTTTATTTTCCAAACAGATGCAATGGACTTCTCTGGGATGTCACTGATCAAACTCAAAAAGGAAGAAATGGAGACCCAGGTACTTGTGGATCTTTGAAATGAGACAGCGGAGGGTTGAGAATGTTCCAGTGAAAAAGGCAGCGAGAGACACACACCCCGGGGGTGTGCAGTACCATTCTTGAAGAACAAAAGGTGTCACAGAAGCAACTGCCCCAAAATATAAGAAATGAGCTTCTGCCACCAATAACTTTTTTTTAGAATAGGCTCTTTTAAAGCTCAAACATTTTTTAAATTTTCACTTTTTATTGATCTTGTTTGAGCCACTCTGGAAGCCTGACTGGGTGCAGACAGTAGGAAAATGCTTGAAGCAAATTATGGCAAATAACTAGGGGTGATGTCTTCCAGCTTTATTGATGTCTTTCACAATGCCCTTCTCCATTGCTGTAAGAGAACAGGTAGTTTGATTTTTTTAAAAGATTAAAATTACCCAATGTTATTTGAACAATACAGTGCCATCAGTACGCAGGCCTTTTTACCAAGTGCAAAGCGGTGGAGCCACCTCTAGGAAGACAGCTGGGGAACAGTGGTGGGTGGAAGACTTTATTTCACCTATACGTATTGAATGACTAGACTATAGAGAGAGAGAGGAGTCTTTACAGAGGGCCTGGATTTCAAAGGAGGGCTCAAAGGAGTCCTGGTGGCATCCTCCCATTCTAGGCACAAAGAACCCCTTTTCCAGCAAAGGGCTCCAGAAATAAAAAAGCAGTGCAACAGAAATTGTTGAGGAAGAAATTTTGTGGTCTTTTTAAGCCCGTCAGAACTGGACAAGCAAAAATGAAGCAGACACACTGCACCCTGTGAAGCCTAGCACGAGGCCAGCTGGGGAGATGTTTGGTGGGTGTCGAGGGAACAAGCTGTACAGCTCAGTGAGAAATGCTGCCCTTTCTTCCCCCTCGTGGCTCAAGACAGAAGGCGATTCTTTTGCAGGTGAAGGTGCTAGAATTGGAAAAAACACTGGAGAACGAGCGGCTGCGGCTGGGTGAACTGAGGAGGCAGCATTACGCTCTGTCGGGCCTCTGCGACGGCGAGCCCGCGGACGGAGGAAAGCCAGCCCCTGCCCACAAGCCGAGCATCTCAAAGAAGCCGCCTGTGGCTCAGAAGCCGACTCACGTCGTCAAGCCGGACCACGAGGTAGGCCGCTCGCCAGAGGAAGGGATGGGTTAGGGTCTACCGGTAGAGGAAGGCGGCAGGGCACCAGTCCAACACCCGCCAGGTGGCTTTTGATGTTTCTTCACCCTGGGATGATAATAATAATAATAGCCCTGCTGGGGACTCTTGGTGCGGGTAACCACAGCTATTGTTTCCCCCTCCCGGGAAACACTGAAGGGGGAGGCAGACAGAAACGATCTGGACAAACTGGCTGGAAAAGGCCTGGTCTGGAACAGGGGGTGAGGGTGCAAATAGGGCAGGACTCCATCTTTTTTCCACTCCCTGAGACCTGGAGGAATTACAAGGCAGCATGGAAGATGGGGACAACCCGTTTAGAGCTGAGGTTTTCCTACATTTAGTGGCCCTGCACCATTGGGGGGGGGACATGCTTTGCTTGCAAAGATCTGGCACATACTGCTTTATCTGCTAGGGCTGTTCAGACTATAAATGCTTAGAGACGCCCGTGTAATGCAGCTTCCCCCCCCTCTCCTCGCCCTCCTTTTTACAGCTGGTGAGAATCTTTGGTGTTTACCAAGCACATGTTGTGAACTTCTAAGGCGTGGAGGGCAACTGACTGGACTCAGGAGGAAGGAAAACAGCAAGAGGAGCAAACGAGAAGAGCGGTGGGATTCTGCTTCCGCCTGGGGATGGGAACTGCCGACCATCCTGAGGGAGCTCAGGCCCTGCGCCTGACACCACTGAGGTTCCTGCCGGCGGGCAGAGACCCATTTGCCTTCCAAAGGGGGAGGCGGTCGGAAGATCCCCTGAAGTGCAGACATTCCAACACTGTTAACCATCTGTGTTTTAAACAGATGCCGACTGGATGAATCCTCAGCTGCCTTGGTGTCCTGGCACTGCCTTTACCCTAAAAATCCTCTCCCCCCCCCTCTTCCCAAGTCAAACAAAACAGGAAGCCAACTTGGAGGGGCACCTCTCTGCTGGCTCTCTCGCACAAGAACAGATTTGCTTTGGGAGGCCTGCCCCCTTCCTGCCAAGGTGCCACCAAAAACCCTAAAGGTGGAGGGGGGGCAGAGCCGTCTTCGCTTGCTGGCACCTGTTATTTAAAAGCAATAGGAACTTTTGTTTTGTTTTAGAGTAAATGTTGGCGTGTCTGTTATTACCCTTTTAATGAAATGCGAAAAAAATAGGTTTCAAGCTGGATGTTCAGATTTATCTTTGTCATGCTTATGCTACAGTTTGAAAAAAGGTAATTTCTCCGTGGAGATGAAAACTCAAAAAGATTTTACACTGTCCGTTTCACGTATTAGAAAGGAAGATGATTTATAATACAGATAAAATTATACACTGGTTTTTAAATGCTTTTAAATCCCATTTTAAGGAATATAGTGCAAACAACAGCTATATAGCTTATTTCAGGATTGTGTACTGAAGCAGTAGCATCATGGTGTATTTAATTCTGTGGGTGGCAAAAAGTATTTGTAACTTATAGGAATGGAAATCCCGATGGGAATTGTTCTTAGGATTGCTTAAGTTTTGAGAGGAGAATTTAGCTTTATTAAGGCGAGTTTACTTGAAACACGGTTCAATGTTCAATTGTCTCGACCCTTTGTCTTTCTTCGCTATGTTTTTTAAGCAGCTTGTAGTTTCAAAGGGTTTACATTCTGAGGGCAACAGATGCTGCCCTGTGGGTACAGGGGGTATCTTCAGGGCCTGAGCAAGGTGTTTCCTGCAAGCTGACCCCTATCGTTCTCTCTGAGAATCTTCTTACTTGCTGGCAAGTACATCTTAGATTGTAGGCCAAGCAAAACTTCTCCTGGCATTGAACCAAGACCATCATCTTTGGTGCTCCGACTGTGCCTGCAATTAATAAGACCTCGTAACGTCACAAAATAAGCAGCCTCTCTACTTGCGTGTGTTTTCTTTGTCAAGTTACCACTACGACAAAATGTCAAGCTAACTGCTGTCTGTTTATATTGCATTGTTGTTACATTGCATTTTGGAATAGCAAAGACGTGGTTTCTGGAATTCTTGTATTTAAGCAATAAAACATTAACTGGTGTGTGGGGTTTGGCAGTGCTGTGCAATGTTTAGAGGCAAGAAGGGCAGGTTCCTTCCTGCACTGCTGGCCTTGACAGTCAAGTTACAAGGGTTTGCTCCTCCTCCTCTTCTTCCAGACCAAAGCAATTCATTTCAGCAGTAACACAAAACACAGGTCCAAAAAGGTAACACTCACACACATTGTGACAAACAGTTTTACAAAATCTTGGATTCTTTTTTAATGAGCAATCACTGCAATCCTGAAGTCATTATTTTAAAAAAACAGCCAATTTTACATGGAAAGTGAACAGTTTTCAACTCTAAAGCTTCTTTTCGAAGCACATCCTCTATCAGTTGTGCAGCCCAAGTGAAGCTTTCACACCCCTCCTCTTGCTACATTAGAAATAAGACTTGCTTCCAGCCGTGAGTGCGATTTTGCCACGCAGGCTTCTAAGTTGACCTCTTTCTATAACCAACAGGTTCTCTTTAGTGCTGTAACATAAAACTGGCTCATTTGGGCAGCAAGTATCCAGGAACCAGGAGTAGGATTAATGTCCCAGAATATCCCCTGCTACAAGGGATTAGCCAGTGGCCATCCACCTGGCAGATTCATCTCTCTGCTTGATGGAAACACCCCCACCCCGGCCTCCCTTAACAGAACCGGAATCCCTCCCTTCCTGTGTGAACAAACACAGCCCCACTTACACACCACAGCCTAGAACAGAATGCTGCAAAAAAATCTTTCCTGGATATATATCTGATACTATCTCTGGAAATGAAGCCAAAAGAGCAAAATCTACTCACGTTTCTTCCACGAAATACGTATACCGATCAAGAAATAAGCTAAGGCTAATGTCAAGCAAGCATTCTGCTGAACTCCCACTTCCCACAGGCTTCCTTCTACTTTACAGAAAAGACAATTAAGACAGTTGTATTTAGAAAGTGGCTGCTTTCCTCCCAGAGAGTCCTGCTGAGAGAACATGGCTTCCTTCACCTCAAGAAGTGTGTGTGGTTTTTAAAGGGCTCTTTTAAACACCCTACAGGTGCATAGAACAGGCATATTAAACAAAACATTTGAAAATCTTCATATAAAAGCTCAGCAAAACAGTAACAAGACACTAAAATAGTTTTAACTCTATATTCTAAGACCATTTAAGCTTCTTTCCGTGAGCTTTATGGCTGCATCCATCTGTTAAATTCTAAAATAAAGAAGGTCTTTTCAGGTAGCTGTTTGCCTTCTGCAGGCATGTGAAACCGTAAAGCATATCAAAGTGCCTTGGGTAGGGAGAAGGTTGTGTCAACACTGCTCCCCATCTGCTGGGAGTCAGGATCTGGCTGTTTGACGGTGAAGGGCTTGCCCAGTAATTCTACAGAGTAAGGAAGCATCTTCCATCCGCTTTGTCCACATCAGCCATTAGTGGCCTTGGCGCAGATGTTGTGCCTCCTCGAGATCTACCCTGGCAGAGTGGAGGGAAGGGGCCCGGGCAAGATTGAGGTCCAAGTTGGGTTGACAAGGGGATGACAGGGCGGGCATCCCCATTTATCTATCTTATCTGCAGGAGATCCTGGCCAGAAAGACATTAGCAGCAGCGGCTACTCTGGTGTGCCACTGAGCAGCAACTGAATTATCAGGCTGGTTCAGAGTCCGTCCCCTCATCAGCCGTGGCAGCCCTGCGTTTTGCCCCAAAGCCTTCTCACAACCAGGTACGTGCAGCAGAAAAGAGTTGGGTTTCCAACAAACCAGAACCAGAAGAGGTGACCTCAGATCTTTCCAAAACCCACAAAAATGCAAGCACTGCTGGAAACCATAAGTTTTTCGAGCACAGCATTAACTTCAACGACCAGCCTCGGTTACATTTAACACATGGACCACCATCATGGCGGAAAATGGCCACTCCCTCCTGGCCCGGATGGTTCTAGCCTAACCCACTTCCCTGAAGGCCACCGACGCGACCAGCAGCGGTTGTTCCCTGCAGCAGGCTTGAGATCGTCTTGCTCAGAGGAAGGCCTGGCCAGTCCCTCACAACCAACACAATACTGCCTTCGGTTTCATATTCTAGGCCCTCCGGCATAAAGAGGTGTGTGTGGGGGGGGAGCCACCGAGCTGAAAGATCTGCCGATTTTTTTTGTCTCAGCAGGTCAAAAGCAGTGATCCTAAGGCACACCATTTGTCCCTATCAGCCACAATACCTTGCTTCTGAGGAAAAAAACTCTCCATTTCTGCTAGTCGCAGTGTAGTTCTTTTCTGTATGAGATATCCCTGAACAGTTCAGTGGTTGGAAATAATTTCTGCTTTTAAAAAAAACATTAAAATCAGGACTTCTTTTTTGGGTAATTTCTTGAAAGGAATGGTCAATGATCTCAGTCCCAAAACACTCCAGAAAGCAGAAATTTGGACTGTGAAATTTCTCATTAAAATCAGGACTTCTTTTCTGGGTAACTTCTTGAAAGGAATGGTCAATGATCTGAGTACTGTACCAAAACACTCCTGAAAGCAGAAATTTGGACTGTGAAATTTCTACGTTATGTGCTTCAAGATGCTTTTTCAGCACCCCAGATACAAACTGATACCTATGAAATTACAGACTAAGGCTTCATCTGCATTAAGGTTTGAAATCTGTTTATCCCTGAAGAATCTGTGATGATGCCTACTCCCACTGACGTCTTGGTGGAAGAGGAAGCAGAGATAGCAAAAGACGCTCAACATTTACTGCATCAACGGGCACAGAGTAGAAGTTACTCCACTAGATTCAGAATGTCTCACTCACACTTCAATTTTTAAAAAAAAAAAAATCCTTAAAAGGAGAGAAGTTTCTTTTGTTAAACAAAAAGTGTGGTTGTGTTTTTTTTTAGAGCACTGAGAAAGCCCCGGCTGCCACTTAACAGTTCAAAGATGGGCTCATTATGAGAACGCGAGGGCCATGTTAGCACCAGTACTTGGATGGATGCTGGTTTTCAAACAGGATGATGACTCCTCATGCTGAATGAGTAATACGTTTGGCTTAAAGGCTCACTTGCAATGAGCATCCAAGCAGACTCATCTGAACACGCAACAGGCCAAACAACAAACCAGTAATCTGGCAAATCATTTCCGGAGCTCCATTTCTATGGCTCTGTCTTTGGCCAAGTCATGCAGTTTACTCATCATCCACGTTAAGGGGGGGGGGAGATGATTGGCAGTTGTCCCAGTGTCTTTGAGGCATCACAGAAACAGGTGACTAACATTCACCAAAGGAACCACATTCTTGAATGCTCTTTAGCAAAGATGTGACCTAGGAAGGCTTATACTCTGCGTACAATCAGCAGCACCGAATGCCCACAGGCTGTAATTTACAGCACACTGTGTCAGAATCTGACAAAGGGAGTGCTAAGGAAATGCTGGGAGACCTTCCTCCTCCCTCTGCTTCTCTTTCCCAGAGAGAAAAACCATCTGCTGCTCACAGAGCACTGAAAATATCTTAGGCTCAATTGGAGGCTTTGAAGTCCTAGGGAAAAAGACACATCTTTCCTGAACTGATACAACCAGCCACATTTACACAAGCGGGAGATCAGTTCACACAGCCACCTCCGACTAATCTGAAGCTCCCGGCTTTTGGCAGCCATCCTGCCTTCCAAATGGGGGACGTTGGGGTTATCTTGTTCCAAAAAATTGTGAGCAGACTCCAAGAGGAAAGCGCCAAGATCACCTCTGAGCGCAGAGACACACAGACCCTGATTTCTGACAAATCAACCATCACCAAATGTTCCCCTTTCTTCATTTAGAAGAAAAATATGGCTTCAAGAAAGTGCTGTTCAGGGTGAAGGGGCTTGTATTTCGTTCTTATTCTTTCAATTTAATGAAACACAGAGATAAGAACGTAACTATGATGCAAGAGAGGTTCTCTGTGGCTGAACAGTCACAAACTGGCAAAAGCATAATTCTAATCATCACAAAAACGAGTGCCAGTTGTAGGCTGGAAAAAGCTGTCACACAAAAAAGGAGAGGGATGGAAGAAATGGGGGGGGGATGATTTATGCATACAAAAGGGTAGCTTGGCAAGTATGGATTGCTGTTTAAAAGGGAGGTGGAAGACCTGCAGCCGTCACAGCCTGAAACGTCTTCGGTAAAAAAGCCAAGCAGGCTAATCATCACACTCTGCGCCAAGGGCTTCTCACATCTGGAATGCAGGCAGGAGAAACACTCTTCTTGTTAAAACCTGACGAAACATTTCTTCGGAAAGGCAAGCTGCCTGCTTCATGGGTTTAAGGAAGCTGCTTGCTTACACCACTTAAGCTTTACATTCTTCATGTTCAAGATACATTAGAAAAGTTCCTTACTCTCCCCGTTTCAAAAGATGTTAGAAAAGTTCCTTACTCTATAAGTTCCTTACTCTCCCCGTTTCAAAAGATTGATCTTAATGGGAAAATGCTGAAAATCAGCTTGATGGGTGCTTCCTTACCACAAATGGGAAACAGTCCCACACAGAATTAAGCAGGTTAGCCAAAACATTAATCTTCTTCCTACAGCTGCGGTTTTTCAACTGCATGGACCCCACACCTAAATCTGGACTCTGCTTATCCACTGGAACAGAGTTCAAAGTCAGAGATTTCAAGACCATTTTTTCTGGCTGGGGGTGGGTGGGCCGGCAAGGACCAAGATGGTATAACATCAACCACCACTTTGCAAACTGCATTCATCAGCTCAGTGTAAGAACTCCGTCATTAAAGCAAAGAAGCAAAGCGATCAGTTAAAACCAAGTTCTAAAATCTGCGATCTTACCATCTTCAGGAACAGCTGCTCTTACAGAACAGAACAGCATAGGTGGCTGAAGTCCAGAACATAATATTCTCAATGCAATACTCTCTGAGGACACCACCTTAATCCATTTAAATGCAACACTGGCCAAACAAAGCATCATGATCCACTTAAATGCAACCATTGTCAAACTCGCACCTTATAAGAGAGACCCGAATGAAAAAGGTGTATTATTTGGTAGAATAGAAGGCAATTCCTCCTGATTGCTGAAGACAGAAATCCGTTATTTTAACCTGGATCTTGCTTTTAAGAAAAGACAAAAAAATCATAGCCTTGTAGAAAACAAGCCATCCATGGCAGATGGTGTGATGAATGGCTTTTTCACCAGTGGTACAGAAACATGAGGAGTAGGGTAGTCATCACGCACGCTCCCACAGATACAAACAGGGCTCAACACATAGTGGCTGAAATCCAGCAGCCAGTTACAATGAGAGGATGCCCTCTGAACCAATGGAACGTAGAGAGTTGACTCTCCAAATCCCCACTGATTCAATGGGCCTCCTCTAGTTGCATGGCTACTTCTACATGCCAGTCCATGTCATTATGACTTCTTCAGCACAGAAAAGAATTTTAGAAGAGGTTTCACACAGTGGTGGTAGGATTCAGCGGAGAAGGAACTTGGACAGACGTTTTATACGAAACGGTGCAATTAAAAAGAAGATGATGGCCACACACAGGAAAGGGAGGGGGAGAAGGAACTTGGACAGACGTTTTACGGTGCAATTAAAAAGATGATGGCCACACACAGGAAAGGGAGGCTGTGGGAAGTGATCCAACAGCCCAAATTGCATATTACTGGTCACAATCAAGAGCAGGGAAATCATTTTTCATTCATTACTTATTTCTGGAAATCCTGAGGCTTTCTAGAGGGCAGCATGGTTAAAGAAGTCGACCTCGCCTTACTAGGGTGGATGTACGTAGTTAGGTACGTCTGTACACACAAAGGCAAGGATCCCCCTGCACTGGCAGCAAGTCAATGAAATGAACAGGATGACATCAGCATGGAAAGAGACATGCCCTCACATCATGTGCTAACAAAATGGTTAGCCAACTTTGAACTACAAAAAATAATAATAATAATAATAAACACAGTTTCTACATCAAGTCAGCATCTATTGCCATCTGGCCCTTTTCAATGCGGGTTCATAGTGAGAATGCATATGGAACAGCTTCTGTCGAGATATCAGAACGGCGAGTCTTCTGTAGAATTAGCCTGAAGTCTCTCATTCCCCATTAACGAGTTAAATGAAACAAGCCCCTCGGAAGTGGGAGGTGTTCCACATGGACTGAAATCTCCTCTTAGGAGTTGGACAGCCTTGATGAACAATAGAAATGTTTCACCTAATTTATACAATTCAACTGTCCCCGTTCAGCTCTTCCCCTTTTTAAAAGGAAAACTAAGAAAATCATAGTAAACCCCTCCAAAATGATGTTGGCACACCAGTTTCCAGCCTGAATTTTTTTTCTACTTTACGCACAATGCACAGTAGATTTGCCACAATTTAGGCTGTCTCCAGGGTTCTGGAATTTTTAAAAATGGTCAGCACCAATACACAAGAGGCAGGACACGATGGGCATCTTCACTGTAGAATAAAGCCGGGGTTTGGCGGAAGGCGAGATGGTGGTCTTTGGGGCAGCGCTGGTGGGTACTGCTGTGCAAACGGCGTTGGGTATCCTGGCTGGGGCATTTGACTCGGAGGTGGAATTCCTGTTCTCGGAGGAAGGGGAGGGTACAGAACGCCTGAATACGGGAGGGCAGGCGTCGCACTCCTTGCCGCTGTGAAGGGGGTCGGGAAGCGCCCGGCTGGGACTGCAGACACTGCAGGCGGCGGAGGTGGGTTGCGGCGGGGCATAACAGAAGGAGGGGCGTTTGCCTCTGAAGTCTGAAGTGCTGGTGTGGTGTCGGGGGCTCTGGGCTGAGGTAGCACCGGGAGGAGCCTCGGACCCTTCAGCACCATTTCTTGGAGTTTTTCAATTTTCACACGCCGCAGGTGGGCCAGTTTCCTTTGGTTCTGATACTCGTCAATGAAGGAGTCCAGGGGGATTTCACCATCCAGAAACTTCTCAGCCATATTCTGCCGCAAACAGTGAATGAACATTAAAAAAGGGGTGACGTTTGGACGTGCAAACCCTGTTTCTAACCTCTGATCCTAGCTATCCCCTTTCTTTTTTTTACTGCCGAAAAGAAAAAGGAAATCTGTTTGGAAGGTGAGATTGCATCAGGGCAGACAAAGGTATCAGCGGCTTGGCCCTGAATCTTATGAGCTGGGAAGGCCGGATAGGGCTTAGCATCACCTACTGTAATTTACAGCAGAATATCAAGATTTCACAGAGAGGTTTCCCACACCCCAAGCATCAAAGAACTTTTAACAAGAGACATGTTGCTCATGCCGCTAAGCTGCGGAATTTGCTACTCGCATTGGTCCTGCAACAGAATGTCAGCATTTTTTTGCAACATTTATTTATTTATTTATTCAACTTGCATATCATAATATTTAGATCACTGTTGCCAAAGTAGTTCACTGTTGCCAAAGGTCATGGTGGCATGATCCTAAGAGATGTGAAGAAATTCCACTGAGGATTTTTTTTTCAAGCTTAAACAAGAGTTTCTAAAAAATTTAAAAGTGGGCATGACTCCCAAATGTTAAGGAATCACTGACTTAGCAGATGCATTACCAGTTCTTTCCAAGTGCATACCTATGTCATCTCTAAGCCTCAAGATTCCCTTCTAGCACAACAATTCTATGATTCTATAAAACCTAAAATAACTTCCCCGTTTGCTAGAGAAAGGAATGTGCCTTGACGTCATTTTCCAAATGGCCAGCCAAGCTAATCATAGGCCACAGGCTATGTTGACTCAGAGAGTAATAACAGAAAAGTCCACTGGCAACCAGCAAATTCATAGTAAGCCCAAAGCCAAGACGGGCTATTCACCCTGGCAAATAAATGCTTTCCATCAATCACTTTAACACAGAGAATGCATATCTAACATAATGTGTGGGCATGTATTCCATGCAATGATTTGCCTGCCCGGATTGAAATCCTCCCCCAGAACACCTTTCCTCTCCCATTTTCCTCTACACTCCTATGTTCTCTTTTTATTTTCACACACAGAAATTACTAACAGTTTTTGGTTTGATTTCTAGTTTTGGATGTGGTCTGAGATTGGACACTGCCTCCCCCGCTCCCTCCCTGATTTGAATCTTTATCAGACACTGTCCATATGTTTGTAACCATAACTACTAAGAGTTTTGGATTCTTAATTTAAAGAGTCTCAGGGTGGTTTATTCACCATTTGTACATTGTCTTTCTGCCAAGTACACAGTGTTCAAGACGACTTACACAATTGCTTTACGGGAACCACATCAACAGTTCTGGATGTATGCAAAACACTTCCCTCGCACACTATGCCAGAAATGACCAGCTGCTCTGGATTCATCAATTAAGTTAAAACACACAAGGAATTTTCTCCCTTTTCACTTCGAGTTGCTGAAGGAAAAGGCCCACCAAAGCATGTTACTGGCCCAGTGAATTGCATGGCATTGATCAAAAGCAGGAGTGAGTTATCTCCTAGGGTTCGGGGGTCAAAAAGAATACTTCTTTGGTCCACATCAGCCCTGGCTCTGGGGAAACATGGAAAGAGGACCTCCCTTACAACCAAGGTGAACCACAGCTTAAGTGACGCTGTCAAGACAGGAATATGCAAGCAAGCTGGTTACGATTTTGTGGGCCAATAGTGCAAATGTTGTCAATGGAGTTTATGGGCTGATGGAACAGAAGCACTGAGCATGAAAGACTGTCGTGTGTACCCTTATAGTAAGAAGAGGTCCTTCAAGGTCCCAGATGGACTTGAGCTAACAACTCAGTTTTATGAGATTACTCAGCTTACCTCAGTATCTTCTTCAATCTTAGCCCCTTCTGCTTGGAGGAGTGCTAAAAGCGTTTCCAAGGAAGCATTGCTGGATTGTCTGTCTATAAAAACAGAAAAAGTCATAGAATCAGCACAGAGTGCCAAATCTTAGCAAAGTCACAAGACTGAGAAACACTGCAGGTGGAGCATTACTTTCCTCATGTGCTCCTACAAGATTCTAGCCAACAGTCAAGAAAAAGGTTGTAACACTAAATTTACAGTCTATAGAAATGATACAAGCCACAGTACGAGTGCAAGGCTTACAAAGTCAAACTGTGTTCAGTGTCTGAATTGCACAAAGTATCTGGAAGTCCTGTTTCAAATCTCACCTTAGTCACAAAAACACAGAGACATCAAAAAAACTGCTCAGCCTCAGCTACCGCCCTGATCCCTGAAGTATAGGGAGAATACTACTAACCTCTCACAATGAACACTGAGATTAATGTAAAAAGGGCCTGGAAAATTCCAGAGTGCTATACAAATAGTTGGTTTTATTATTACTGCACAATTCAACCTAGAGAACATTTCATGGCCTGGCAAGAAAACCTGGTAATCTTCCAAATGTACTGTAGTTCCCGGTGATCTCCAGGGAAGGGATAGGAAACACGTTATGGGTAACACATCTGCTTTTATCACAGAGTTTATTTTCCAATTGCAGCATCTGTTCCCACAAGCAGCAGCCATGTTTATGTGTGCAGCGTTTTTTTTTTTTAAAGCGGCTTTACTTAAACTTCTGCAGCTTTTTTTTTAAAGCGGCTTTACTTAAACTTTAGCAATGACTAGGACTCCCATCCAATTAAAGATACCTTAACCAGATAATAATTGTTAAATGTTTAGTTGGTCTGCATAAATCTGTACATGACAGCTTTGAATAACAAAGCACTTTTTAAAAAAATACTAAGTCTTGCAGCAAATATGATTTTAGGAGAGGAGTTTCCCCTTTCTCTCTTAGATAGAAGAGACTATCGCGACGGAACTGCTCTCCATCTACCAGCTTTTAATTATGAGTATTTCAAATGTTTAAAGAAATACTGCTAAATTAGTCAGGATACCTTTCAACTCATTTATACTGTTTTAATCACATCATCTAATTGATTAAGCAACTAAATGTGACAGCGCTAGTTACTGCTATTTATGCTGGCTCAGCAGCACTTGTATAAATCTGCTCCAGGGGATATGAATTAGGTGGTTCCCTGAACCTGTTGTGGTGCACCCACAGCCTAAGCAATGTTAAATAAAATAAGACATCTCCTATTTCTAATGGAAGGTCCCACTTCCCAGATGACTTTCAAACTGGGAAATGCTTCTTTAAGCCAGAAGTAACTATATGTCACATAGAAAGGTTGGGCCGGCCCACACTTCTTTGCAGGTAGCGTAATCCCCATTTATAGGATTTAAAAAAATCAGAATCCATGTGTCAGGCAGAGCTATATTGCTGTCTGCTCTGCCTGAGACTTCAGAGAAGAAGAAAGAGGAAGGGAGGGACCCACAGCCAGCAGAAGAACATTACCAAGCTTGGTCTTCTTTATCTGATGTGATTCGAAGAGAACCTGCAGCTCTTGATACTTCTGTATCAGGGTGGCCTTCAGAGCATCGAGCTTTGGCTGGTACAAAAGGTTGCCTTCTGCAAGGCTACGGTTGCTGGCGAGAGTCATGTCCTTGCTAAGCTGAACGTTTTGGGCCTGTGAAAGAAAAAAGAGAAAAGTTAAATGGGCAGTAGATGCTAACAGATTCCCACTGGTGAGTAAATACCACCTAAGACTTCCACTGGTGAGTAAACACCAGCTGATTCCCACTTCTCATCCTGAAATGTAATTTACTAGCAACTGCTCTGCAGCAATGAGAGATGAGCTACAACATACAGTAGCTGTTTTCCTTCCCAAATGGTCTCCATTCCAGCTGGCCTTGACAAGAACTTTGCAACTTCAAGAACTAATGCCCAGGTCCAAATCTCTCATGGACACCCCACCCACCCACCTTTCTGTTTCCTCTTTATTAGATTATAAGATTCTGGGCAGAGATTACTTTCAATTTAGGGACAATTTTATTTTTTAATCTCTGTGGAGCAGCTCAGCCAGTTAGGAACTACTTCACAAGCTGAGATGAACCAATGGCTTGTCTGGCTTGAGAGACTGGGAATTTCAAGCCGCTATCAAGCAGTTCCAGAACCTGCTAATTAGCAGAAGAAAGGAGGTAATGCTGTAAGTATTATCTGCCTCACGGACACACAGAGGCCTAAATCCAATTGCTAGTCTCAATTAGAGTATACCTACTGATTTGTAGGGTCCCTTCCAGCTCCACAGTTATAAGCGTATTATTATTAACCGATAACTCTGTCTCTGAGTCACAATTTATGTAAATCCCACTGATGTAATCATTTCAACAAGAAACACAAAACAAAACAAAAGCAAAAAAGAGACACTGTGGCACCTTAAAGACTTAACTGCTATAAGCATATGTACTCAAGGAGTATGCTCTAATCATTGAATCAGCTGGAATTATCAACTGGATTCAGGCTGAAAACACCTGAATATGTAACCAGAATATTCCAAATGAAAGAAGCCAAAATTATCAGCTTCAAAATATAAATCTATTATTTTAATGTGCTGAGATAGTAGCAGAAGTACACAAGGGGAAAAAAAGAGATGCAATGCATATGTGCTCAAGGAGTATGCTCTAATCATTGAATCAGTTGGAATTATCAACTGGATTCAGGCTGAAAACACCTGAATATGTAACCAGAATATTCCAAATGAAAGAAGCCAAAATTATCAGCTTCAAAATATAAATCTATTATTTTAATGTGCTGAGATAGTAGCAGAAGTACACAAGGGGAAAAAAAGAGATGCAATTTTCAAGATATGTTTTGAAAACTAAAACTTACAGGGTAAACTAGCTTGACAGTGTCTCATATGAGACCTCATAATGAGATCTGAAGATCAAAGGGGAAATTGTAAGATCTGAACTCTGTTATTCAGCGGGAAAGAACAGCAGGATACTGTTTCCCCTAATGGGATAGGAGAACAAGGCTCCCGTTTCCTTGATTATACGAATCTGATAAAGAGGGCTTTATTGCATTCATTGGTTACTGTGAAATATGGTGTTCTCAGAAAAGAGTAGCATCTTTCTTTGTTGACACACACTTCCTTCCTGCTAATAAACACACTACACATACTATTTTGCCAGTCATTCAAGGCAGCATGGATGTTTAATCCAGCCAGTTGCTCTAACTCTAGCTCTCCTACCTATGCGGCTATGGGAGCTGTAGTCCAACATACAGAAGGGGAAGCTAGTTTTAGAAATGGCTTAACAACTGAATAAATATAATACAAAAAGGATTTCAGGCAAAGCGAGAATACAAGCAAATTCAGGGAGTGACCATTCCCTAAATGTTCCACTTGGAGCCAGTAAAAGACTAATAGTAAATGATTCACCTTGCCCCAGGCCAACCTCTTCAAGCAGCACTGTATACTCAGTGCTCTGCTGAATCATTGTTTCTTTAGTCAGATCCCAGACTACGACATTGTCCACTTTGTCAGGAAAAGGCAACTTGTGCCCATTAATGATTCCTGACAAGGTATTCACCCAGCTCCCTTCTCTTCCGATCAGCCTCCAAGTAGAGAGGCCACTGGAAGTTCCATGACTGCCAAAGGGCTGGACATGGTTGGAAACAGAGATGCTGGTCAAACAGAGCCTTTGTGTATTCTACACAAGCTTCTTTTTTTTTTTTAACACATCACTGGGTTCTCGTGGGATCATCTACTTAAAGGATAAGGCGTGTCCACCACACACATCATCTCTTAACCAACTACCATGTACCGTCTACAAGACAGCAAGCCGGTGCATGGCTGCGCAAACGTGTTCTGTACCTCAAACCTAATTCTTTTCATGTGACACATTGTTCAGCTCTAAGCCTTCCCATGTAATTTTAATTTTTTTTCTATCTCTGCCACCCATTTTTACACTCAAAGCATAGTTTATATACTGTACATACACATGTCATTACTTTTTCACCCACTCTTGGCTACATTTCTTATATTATGCAAGAACAGTAAACTAATTTCTAGACATTTAGTTCTGAGAAGCCAACATACAGCTTAGTGTGTAAACTTTAATACAGTATTTCCATTCTCCCCAGCAGATAGCAGGTATGTTTTTTTAAGGCCAGCAAATACAGCACTACTACTTTATACCATAAATCAATAAAACCAGACTATTCCTGACAGTAGCTTTTCTGTAACATGGAAGCAACAAATAAAAAGTTGCTATTTTGTTTCCAAACTAACTGCCTTAAGAGTTAAAAGGATGAAACATACAGTTTGCGAGAGTCTGACCTAGAAGGCAAATTAAGACGAATAGCTACTATTTAACACCACCTCAATCTTTAGGACAACAAGCAAACTGTCAGTTGTGTATCACTCTCTTGTACAGTATAAGAACATGTGAAGGCTCAAAGGTAGAAGGTTGCCAAGAGCACAGCAGAAAATTTTCTTCCCTATCTTTATCAGCAAGACACTTGACTAGCTACTATTTAACATCACCTCAATCTTTAGGACAACAAGCAAACCATCAGTTGTGTATCACTCTCTTGTATAAGAACATGTGAAGGCTCAAAGGTAAAAGGCTGCCAAGAGCACAGCAGAAATTTCTTCCCTATCTTTATCAGCAAGACACTTGGTCAGGAACGTGTCCGTTACAGTTACTTTGGTTGGAAGCATTTCATTTTCAAACCAAATAGATATCCAGGTTAATTTTGATTGTATTGATGTGAAGGGCAAGCACTACCATAGAATAAATAAAATGTATTTATTCCCAGCAATATCTGAGGTGGTACAATCCACAAAGAACGGTGTTGCGGTAATGGCAAGTTCATGAACATTACAACCTAGAAGACAATCTTTCTCCAAACTCTACTTGGGATATGTTTCCATTTACACATAGCCAAAAGATTTAGATAAACTAAATCAGATTAAAAGGCATAAACATAAATGGAAATAAATGCGTCTTAACTATGCTTTGAAAAATAAACTAAAATCAAGATTTACTTAACATATTTTTGCAAGCACTATTCTTTTAAAAGGGTGAATCTCTGAAAAGTGGCAATGGATAACTGTTCCAGCTGCACAGTTTGCACCTCACGAATAACTTATCTTTTCCAATTTACAGAGCTCAAATGTTGTTTGCTTCTTTTTGGATGAAGTGAACAATAACATCAACCCATGCATAACAGAACAAATCTGTAATTCACTTGGTTCAACAACTCACTCTTGGCTGAAATTCTAGAATTTTACCCATGATGCTAAGTTAGTCTATAATATTCATTTATTATAAGACTCTTGTATTCAAGACAAGCACACAGAAAGCAAGGCTAGGGGGAAAAACAGTGCACAAAGGCAGTCTGTATGAAGGCACAATTCAAGCCGACGAGTTAATAAGCAGACCAGAACGCCCCACAAATATTACAGCTCCCAGCTGCACTCCCCATTCAAAGCATTTATGTAGCACTACAGGGCACTTATAAGTCACTATTGTATTCTGAAAGGCTCAGGAAGATCATATTCATTAACTCCATACTCTTTACTTACACATAGTAAATGTTTAATATTTATATTCCACTTTTCTTCCACTTTTGTGTAGGACAACTAGAGCAGTCCATAAGAAGAAGACACAACAAAATCCTCTTTCAACTTCATGGTGGGTTGGGCAACTGAAAAGGCAGGAAACAAATTTAACTAATGCACCAATAAACTGTCCGCCCTACAGCTAAAACTGGACTGTAAGACCCAGCATCTTTCCTCAACTGAGCAAGCTGGATGAGACTAACACAAGATGTTTTGGTCCAACAACATCTAGAGTAGAGGATCACAACTGTCTAGCTGCTTATTATAATGCTCACCCCTGTCTATGATTACGCACAGGCTGTAACTAAGAAAGACAAGCTACAACACAACTGCATTGTCTAGTTATGACTGGTTCTCAAGGAACTGATGACTGAGATGAACTCACCAGCTCAGAGTCCATCCTCTTAGTCACTACCCTAAACACAGTCATACCACGAGGCCAGAGATAGCCACCCTTGCAGGCCAAACATGGCAAACTGGATATGCAATAATGAGGAATGTCAGTCAAAACCAAGAAACAAACCAACAAAAATATGTAAAATAGTTTTTACAATATACAGAAAACCAGCTGCTGTCTCCTGCCAAATTTCATACGGCTTTTTTAAAAGGAGAGCCCAAATATAGGTGACATAAGCCTGTCCACAACACAGCAAGCATCAGAGAGAGGACTATACTTTAAAGCAGCCAGAGAACTGCAGCTTTCTCTTCTTTAACTCTTATGGAATTACTTCACTACTTTGATTTCTCTGCTTTAAACTTCTGCCTATAATACTGAAACCTGCAAACCTGGGCCCTTCTAGAACACAAAGACTTTCACATTTCAGGTCACAGTCACTGATTTCGAGTTCCTCTCACCCTTGGCAGATTTTTGGGTTTTGAGGGTTTATTTGCATAATCCAAGGGTAAGACGAAACTGATGTGGATTAATGTTACAGTACATTGTTGCAGTGAGCTGTAATTAGCAGTAACATGAGAAGACATACAGAAACCAGGTTGTGACGCTGCATACTAGGATACGTAAAACTTACAGTCAACACCACTCTTTATCAAGAGAGCAAAAA